TGATGCTCTTATCCCAGTGAAGCCACTGGAAACTTCTGAAGTTCATGAGCCATTTGCTTCAGGCATTGTTCAATTAAGAACAGAGCCTCTTCCCCGGTAGCAAATACCCAGCAACTTAATTAAAAGGGGCTCGCTGTTTAAATTGCCACAGTGGTTCTCAATAGAAGGAGTTGGCCTCTCACGGGTGTAACTGCTTCTAATTTCCTACCATTCCAAAGCCAGTATTTAGAGAATATTTCACTGTCAACGGACATTATCCCATGATCAGCTGCTCAGTTCCCTTGCTCAGGCCCGTTGGCCACTGAGGTGCAGGGAAAGCACCACTGCCCCACCCCCATCTCCAGTGCTTACAGAAGCCACAGCAGCTAAAGGCAGCAAAGGCCCCACAGGAGGATGCACAGAATGGCTTAGAGGTGATCCTCGGAGACACATGAGTGGATGCAATGTAAAAATGATGAGGCAAGGACTCCAGTGACATCTAAGTCATCATATCCTCAAGGGGCTGCAGTCACAAGAAGGGATGAATCGGTGGAGAGAGACCTTCAATGACAAGGGGACTTCCAGGCCTGGCTGCCCTCCTGGGTGGCTCACCGTCTGAGAGATCTGAATTTCACAGCTGTGGAAAGTGTCTAATAGCTCTGGGAATCTGGACCAATCATGGGACACACGGCACCATGCAAGTCCAGGAGTCAGCCATAAGCACTAGCCGTAGCCAAACGCCCATCTTCCAAGCATTTCTGAAGAGGGTGTATCTACCAGCCAGAATCTGTTGGCTTGAGCTCCTCGTGGACTCCCTTGAGTGTGAGGTGAAAGTTCATGCATGGACTTTGTTTCTCTCGAGAGACTCTGATTTCTGATTCGGAGCAGACCAGTGATTGGGCTGTGAGAGATAGACTAAGCCACCCTGCAAGGAGCCCTCCTCCTTCAACCTCAGGCCAACTGCCGAGCCACATGATCTACCTCTCGGCTGCCAGCACACATGTACGGCTGCAGCTTGTCACCTCTGTGCCTATGCACCAGGTGATTTTCCATCTCAAGCAGTTCCACTAGAGTATCTACACCTCTCCAGAGAGCATCAAGGTCAGAGGCAAGGTCTCGGGACTTCATTAACGGGGTCCTCAATGCCAGCAGCAGCCAATCAGCACAAGGATTTGAGATGACATCATTGCTGTCATCGACATCACCACTGCTCTCACCATCACCAGCAGCACCGTTACCACCGCCATCATCACCATTCATAACATTTGTACAAGCACAATCGTTACCATTCCACCACTATCTCCACCAACTCTGTAACTATCATCGTCTTTACCATCGCAATAATTGTTACCACCATCTTCATCACCATCCATCATCCCGACCATCATTCCCATCAATGTCATCAACAGTTCCATCACTGGCCTCAACTTTATCATCACCACTATGACCATCACCATTACTACCACCATTATCATCCTGTTATCACCATTACCAACATCATCACCCTCACCAACATCATCATCCTCGCCAACATCATCACCCTCACCAACATCACCACCCTCATCAACATCATCACCCTCACCTGCATCATCACCCTCATCTGCAACATCACCCTCACCAACATCATCACCCTCGCCAACATCATCACCCTCGCCAGCATCATCACCCTCGCCAGCATCATCACCCTTGCCAACATCATCACCCTCGCCAACATCACCACCCTCGCCAACATCACCACCCTCGCCAACATCATCACCCTCGCCAACATCATCACCCTCACCTGCATCATCACCCTCACCTGCATCATCACTCTCATCTGCATCATCACCCTCACCTGCATCATCACTCTCATCTGCAACATCACCCTCACCAACATCATCACCCTCGCCAACATCATCACCCTCACCACAACCACTACTATCACCACTATCACCAGCATCATCACCATCACCAACATCACTACCCTCACCTGCACCATCACCCTCACCTGCACCATCACTCTCACCTGCATCATCACCCTCACCAACATCACCACCCTCACCACAACCACTACTATCACCACTATCACCACCACCATCAGCAGCACTTTGCCCATTATCATCCCATCATTACCATCACCAACATCACCACCTTCTTCAACATCATCACCATCAATATTACCACTACACCATTAACTTGATCACTCTGTTCATGAGAATGACCATCCCCAGCATGGCCAGAGTTGCCAGTGTCAACATCTTCACCACCTCCCCATCACTATTCATATCAACACTATCATCTCGCCAGCCTGACATCCTCATCCTCATCGTCACCTTCACCACCACCACTGACACCACCACTGTCACCATTATTGTCATCTCCGTCTTCAACATTATCGCCACCATCATCCATATTCACATCACCAAACACACACTGGACAGTTAGGAGGTGCCAGACCCTACACTCATGAAGGGAACTGTGCACTTTAACTGTATAATAGAGAAAGGCATCAGACAGCTGTTGAATTCCCATGGAGGAATGAAGGGGATAAACCGTTACCCTAGCAAGTTCACTACTCTAAAACCCAGAAACACCTACCAGTCTTCCCACTTGTCATCTGATTCCTGAGAGAGGAGCTCTCTGGAAATCCCAGAAGCTATTCTTTGCAACCCTAGGCCCTGAGTAATTCCAGAGTCCCCACATTGCCAATAGGAAAGCCTGGACCTCAGGAAAATGTAATGTATCATACCAAAATTATTGTACGCAGAAGCAACAAAACCAAAATCCTAAGATTCCTCTGTGTAGAACAGAACTGACTTGATGGAAGCCCAGTTCTAGGTTTCAGGGTGCTGCCAGCAGGAGCTCTCTAACCCCTGCTGAGCTTTCCTGCCTCTGACATGGTCAAGCACATCCTCTAGCTATTCCAGCTGGGTATAAAAACCGCAGGTAAGTGTGGTCTCTCTGCAGAAGCTAGACCCTGAACATGAAACAGCACAGCAGGTGTGCAGGACGAGCTTCCAGCTTCGAGAGCTCAGGAGAAGAAGACACTGTGAGAGCAGATCTTGATCAGGGAGACAACAGAAAACAGAGGGCACAATTGCAGGACTACACAAACCTCAATTAGGAGATTCTCTACACCACCCCTATTCCCTCAGATTCCATATGATACTGTAAACAAGCATCTGGAGACTACATGGCATCCCTCAGTCATCCAAGATATGCCATCTTCAAGACCAATGGGCAGTTCTCCCCAGGGCCTAACATGAACTGCTTCTGCGGAGAACTGGACTCTAGGGAATCTGGCTACAGGTGTCCTCCCAAACCCTCTCTTCTCTTCTTGAGCCACCACTGTCCATCCCCCAAGCAGGCCAGCTCAGAGGCCTCCCTCTCCTGCAGGCTGGCATCATTGCCAGAATTTACATTTCTCTGCATTCGAAGCAAACACACATATTTTCCCTCTTCTAAATCTGTTTTGCTAAACAAATTAATCTAGCAGCAGATTATATTATGAAGAACCATAAATCTTTTCGGAGATAAGCATCTGTCGGGTTGGATTAGCAACAGCCGATGTACCGTGAGTTAATTTGCTAAGCCTCACAGTGCTGTCCCAGGCGTTTAACGTTCGTAATAGCAGATGTAATTTGGGACAAATGGGAACTTGTTTCCTCGTCCGTGTCTATACAGTGAGTGACGTATTCAGGGGAGGTGACAGCCAGCGAGAGGAGCGCCAAATTCCATTACGATTATGGCTGATGAGTCGGTAGAAGTTAAGACAGATGCTATGGGAATTGCTTGCAGGCGTCTGGCCCTGAGATGAACAGCCACTGGCCCCTCCTTCATGCCCCTGTCTCTGCTCCAACACTGTGGATTCCCCAGGGAGGCTGTGGGCCAGACGCCTAGGCAACCCTAGGTCTCCTTCCCAGGAGCTGCCAGGCTTAGAGTTGTCCCTGACCTTGACATGGTTTAAGACTAGTTTTGTTTTCAGGGTGAACTTCCCAGAGGACCAGTGGGTTTTGCTGTTCAGCACAGAAGGAAGGAGGTTGGCAGTTGAAGGAGAAAGGCCACTTACCCCATGAAAACCTGCCCAACTGCTAGACCATGTCTGCCTACCCAAAGTCGAAGGAGGCACAGCCAGGAAAAACCAGGTGCAGAGATGCTGTACCAACTGCCCAAGAGTGAACCTCAGAAGCTGCCCCTCCTCCTTCCCATCAGTCTGAGGCTTGAATCTCACCTCCAGCCACTCTTGCTGCTGTCGGGAGGGAGCTTCTCCCTAAGTGGGAGGATCAACAAGGGCTGCTGTTTGTGGGGGCAATGTCCACATGCCCAAACTTTCATGTTACCGTGGGCCATGCTGGGGATTGTGGGAGAGGACTAGCTGCCAGCTCTTTCTCCCATGGCTGCTGGCGTGTGGACAAACCCTGGTCTGGGGCATGACCAGGGCTACCTATGTTGCAGATACTAGAGGATGAGGCAGGGGAAGATGAGCAGAGCTGCACAGAAGATGTCTCCAGCCAAGGAGCTGCAACTGTCCACACGGCCCAAGAAAAGGGCTGCAGGGCTGCAGGGCCAGGGAGCCAAAGCCTTGCATCTCTTCCCCGGCACCAGAGGCCCTCCCCCAACTCCTCCCTGAGGGAAGAGATGCACCTTTCTGCAGAGCTTCAATCAGCAGCACAGGGAGTTCTTCCCCTCATCTGCCCTTCATCTTTCCTGATAGTCAAGGTCATTCCTAACCTTGGGACAAGTTCCATCTAGCAGTGAACCAGCCCCAAGCAGCCAATACCCTGAAGGCTTTGAAGATCACACGGTCCCTTAACATTGGCACGAGATGTGCCCGGGAGACCATAGTCTGAATATAACCATGTAGGTAGGCACTGAAGTTACTGTGTTCCACATGGCAGCCAATCTCTCCTCAGAGTCCACACTCAGCTCTTCTCTCTGCCATAGTTTATACTCCTGGGGACATCTGAGCAACCTCCTGTCCCAAACCACCCTACATCCTGCCTCTCCCCAAGCCAGAGCAGAAAAACAAAGAGTTCACCTACCTGAGGTCTCCCCCAAGATCCTTGGGGGCTGGATATCTTTCCCATTGTTGCTGGGAGTGGTGGAAGGCTCTGTTGTGCTAACCCCAACAGGGGTCCTTTTCCAGGGATCTAGGGACTCGGTGACCCCCTTAGTCTGCAGTGTCATGGCGGTGGCCGTGCTGGCCGTGGTGGTGGTGGTGGTAGCCACAGTTGTCTTCCGTGTTTGCAAGATGGAGACCGTGGTGGGGCCGAACCCACCAGGGAAAGTGTTGGATTCTAGGGCATCCTCATCCCCCGTAGGCCCCCAGGCTATGAATTCTGTCTCTGTCGTGGGCCTGCCACCACGAAAGTCGAAATCATTGAATTCTGCATTATGCGTGTGTCTCCTGCCCCTCCTGAGGAGGCTCTGTTGTTCTGCAGTGCCAGCGACCACCATGGAGGATGAGGCCGATGCAGAAGGGAGGGAAGGGCTGGATCCGGTGGCAGCTGGGGGCTTGGTGAGTCCCCCTTTGGGTCCGAGGGTGGCCACCTGGTCCCTGGGCCTGTGGGCCCTCCGAGCACGGGGAGTCTGCATCTGTATGGGCCCATGGGCACGTTCGGCCCGGGCAGCGCGGGGACTCCAGGCTGGTGTTGGTAGCCTTGTTGGGGGTCCACTTCGCAGACTCCACAGCCGCTGGGGCCTCTGTGGACGTGAGAGGAGCCGAAACTCAGGCCCTGGGCCTAATGAATCACAGGACGGGAAGTCGACTACAAGCTGAAGCATGGCTATCAGTATCCAGGCATGGCTTCCGAGAGAGCGGCCGGGCCAGCGGATGGACATGGAGCTGAGGAGAGAAAGCAGAGTGGTCAGCAGAAAGTGGGGCAGCAAGACAGCTCTGCCCAGGGCCACCTCTACCCTCACCGGATGGGGGCAACTTTTGGTTGTAAAAAGAGTTCATCTGAACCTGGAAAAGACCCCAGAAGCCTCTGGGCCAGCTCAGGAGCATACACTGTGTTCCTCTATAGTGGTCACTATGTGTTGGAGACAGCTGTTTCCAGTTCAGGCACCTCTTGGATGGTAACCTAAGAGGCCCCTTCTATGGCATGGGACCCGACCACCAAAGCCCCCGCCTCCATTTTGCCCCTGAAGACTTGCCCACAATGGAGGTGAGACTCCAAGAACACAAAAGGTACAGGAAGTGATGAGAACATCTGCTCCCAGTGGCCAGCTGACTCCTGAGGTGCTGGGCGACTACAGAAGGCAGAGGGGAGGGGTCTCCCCCTAGAGTGCAGGGTTTGCCCCATCCAGGGGTCTCCGTCTAGACTGCAAGGTTTGCCCCACCCAGGGGTCTTCCCCTAGAGTTCAGGGTTTGCCCCACCCTTCCCAAAACCCCACAACCCTTTAGTCCTCGGAGCTGAGCTTACGCCTGCTCGCACTCCACCTGGACACAGCCCAGCAACGCTCCTTCTGTCTGGCCTTCCCTGGGTGTCGCTCAGGGAGCTCGCTGCGGCTCAGGAAAAGCTGGAAGCTTCAGTTCTAGGTGCCTACTCTGCTGACATTTCCACCCCTCCTGTTTATCTCTGATGCAGATGCCCTTTGGAAATTCTCATCTTCAGTTGGGGCTGGACCGAGAAAGACCAGACTGAGCACAGCCAATCAGGAGCGGAGGCTGATGCTCGCCCTGCTGGGAGCAGGTGGGAAGCATGATATCCGCCTGTCTGGGTCCTGTTGGGACCATCCCCATCCCGAGTCCATGGGCAGCTCTGCTAGCTGAGCACAAGTCCCCTCTAGACCCACGGATGCTGTAACGGCACACGGGAATCCAGAACAGCACGCAGACCCACACAGCCGGGAGTGGAGGATGTAACCCACGCGCTCCATCTTCCCCCGGCGTAGGTAATTGAGGACTGATTATAGGTGCCACTCAAAGTCAGTTCTCATCATCAACTAACTTCACATCTGAAAGTTAGAAGGAATCTAAAACTTCCCCAGAGGCTGTTGCAGGGAGAGCGGGCGCAGGGCGTTAGGTACCCTGAACCACCAGCTTCTACAGCTTGCCAGGCCCCAAAACACACGTGGGGTTGTTTTTCTTTATAAGGCGTCACGTGTGTGCATTTTAAAAAGTGACTGACTGCCTGTGTCAGGGTGTGCCACTGTATATGCGTGTGAAGCCCACATGGATGTGTGTGTGCCAGCAGTGGGTGGAGCACATCCTGTGGGTGTGCGTGAGTGCCGGATGCTACTGCTCGGGCGTGAGAGTCTGAGGGAGTCAATTTGTGAGCGTGTTTGCCAGCGTGAGACTGAGCGTGTGTGGGTGTACTGTGTCTGTGAGTGTTCCCCTGGGCGTGAGAGTCAGTGTGCAAGAAGGTACCACTATGTCCATCTGTGTAAGGATTTGTGTGTGTGTGTCCATGTGTCTTGGTGAGTGTGCCTTTCTCTATATCTCTCTATGGGCCTATATGTCTCTATACCCAAGTGTGGGTCTGTGTCAGTGTGAGCGTGCAAGCATGTCCTTGTTCGCCCTTCAGCATCTGCAACTGTGTTTATTCAAGGATGTGCACGCTCTTTCTCAGCCTGTGCTGAACTCCACGTGCCTGAAGCTAAGACCACTGATGGTTGGGAAGGAGTTGGCCCCTGAGAAAGAAACTTGAGTTCACTGGGACTAATTAGCAAAAAGCACTGGTCTCCAAATAATAAGGCCCGGCTTTTTTAATCAGAATGAAAGCACTTTGCCGTATGAAGGAGGAAGAGCTCATTAGGCTGATGCCTCTGGGCTGTTTCTACCTCTGTGTTGTTACTCTGCACGAGCAGCCAAGCTCCAGCAGGGACAGGGTTGTCATCACTGCGAGCAGAAATCTAGGTCAGTGTGAGACTCCCCTGCATACTTGGAAGGGCCTCTCCTTGGAGCTGCGGGTGACCCTGTAGGGACAGAATGGTGAGAACCCTGGGTCTTTCCCTGCCCGTATATCTGGATAGGTGTCTGCTTCCCTGTGAGTGAGACGCCCTGTGTAGCTGTGAGGCCTCACTAGGCCCTGGCAGGTCTTCTAGGCTTTATCGAGCCTTGACAGCTTGTCTCACAGCACCGTCAGCCAAACCCTACGGGGATCTACAAGTCTCTAACAAGCCTTACCAGGCCCCTCAGGGCCCCGCTAGCCCCCACTGGGTCCCACCAATTCCCTCCAGATTTCACAAGGACTCCAGGCACCTCCAGGACTCATTAGACCATACCCAAATTCTACTGGAACATTCTATTACTCTCCAGGTCTCAACAAATCCCACCTAGACTGATCATATCCCTCTAGGCTCCATTTGGCCCTGCTAGACTCTGCCGGACCCCAGCAAGCCCCACTGGGTCCCAAAAGGCCTCACCAGGTCCCTCTAAGCCTCTCCTGGCCCAATTAGCACCCCTGTCCTCATTCCAGCTGCCCTAGAGAACCATCCGGACCCCCAGCAGTTCAAGCCCTATGCTAGATCCCTCTAGTACCCCTAGGCCTGTGCTGGGCTCCCCAGGCTCCATCACACCCCACCAGAACTCAGTAGTTCCCTCCAAATTCTGCCAGAAGCCATCAGGCCCCATCAAGTCCCCCTAGATGTCTCCTAGCCCCACGGGGCAGGCCGACTGGAAAACAGGAAAGCAGAGCTGCCTGCCGTCAGTACTCCGAGAAATATAGCCCCAGGAAATTAAAACCACAGCACCTAAGCCTAGGCCTGCCTCCCCGGCATAACTTCACACACAGGATATTTCTGTGATTTTTCACCAATCATGGGCTGTAATTGGTAACCATAGAAACCTTCTCATTTCCAAGACACCCAGCTGTTATGCAGAAAACCCAACCCTGGCAATGGGGCTGGGGAGGCGGATGCCCTGCTCCTCCTCAGCCCGGCAGAACGCTTTTAAAGGGATGCGTTTGCTCAGAGGGGAAATAGAGGGCAGTGTGTGGGAAGCAGCTGTCAGCTGGGACAAGGGCCTGCCCCACTGGACAGTAGAGTGCTGGGCCCTGCATGAGACCTGACCTCGTGGCAGCAGGTCTGGTCTGCACCCCTGGACTGGTCTTCAAGGACCCCTGCAAATCTACAAGGGCCTCTTCTCCTCATTCCTCCTGCAGAACCCCGGGTGTTCAGTACAGAGTTAGGGGTTTTCAGACATGCTCTGATACAAAATGAAGCCGTTAGCAGAGGGCTCCACCTTAGGAAGGCACCGAGGCATTGTCAGCTGTCTGACATCCTCCCGGATGACAGGAGGAGGATTTGCAACATGCCAGCCTACCCTACCATCAAGTACCAGTGCCGATGGGCCATATGTTCACCCAGGAGGCCACGTAGAGTTTCCCCAAACTCCAGGACATTTCAACTGGCCCTTCAGACCGTGTCACCCACTTCACTCCGCAAGGTCACCAATAGCAATAAAGATGGAACACACCAAGAGCTGCTGCTGCTGGAGACTAGGACACACACACACACACACACACACACACAAGATAGGCGTGTGAACTGGCTTGCCTGTTCAATGATTTGGTGACCCTTGAAAATTAGAGCTACCACTGATATGGCAAATACAGTCTTTAAGGTACATACCTGGACACTAATGTGACACCTCACAATAGCCCAATGCAAACGCCCCAAGCATCGTCCAACAGATAGGCACATGGGACACAACCAGACACAGAGTAGCATTTGACCCCCCGAAAAGCAGGAAGCATTATCCACACACAAAGTATTATCCACACTCAGGGCACGATATCTGAGTCTGCCACAGGTGGAAGATGCCAGGATCCTGCAGGGTAGCCAATGGCTACCACAGAATACAGGGGAGGGACTGTTTGGAGGTACTGCCTACTGGAGGGGTGTTTTGGGGGGTAATGGAATGTCCTGGAATTCATTGCAGTGGCAGCGACACACCCCATGAAAACACAAAACCGCTGAACCATGCACCCAAAAGCAGAGAATGTAATGGCATGTAGATTGCATCTCAATAACAATAAAAAAGGACAGGACCCAGAAGAGAGTGTGTGTCAGTGTTCTAGGGACTAATGTGGACACTCTCTGTGACCTCCTAATCCTGAGCCCTGGCTGAAAACCTGAAGGCCTGGGCCAGCCTTCTGAGTCACAGGCAAGGTGTACAGAAGCTGTGGAGACTCAGTCTGTATGGTGCAGGCTCTATGGGAGTGCCTAGGACTTAGGGTCCCTCCTCGCCTCATGACATTCACCTCTTGCTCATCTCCAAGGGCACCGTGCAAAGAAAAAGCAGAGCCCACGAACCGTGCACACCCGTTGCCTCCATCTGCCTTTATTTTCTAGTTTGCAGCTCCTTGCTTCTCTTCCTTTTAAATTTTTATTGAAATCACTTTTCCCCAAGAATGGTTTAATAAGATTCAGTGGATTGAGGTTCAATTCACTCCCTTCTATATAGTTTCTCCACAGAAGAAAATCACTGTCATTTAAGGGAGACAAAGATGTCTCTTCACCCACAGTCATACCCTCCCGGGGACCCAGATGTGGCAGCGTGTGCTCCTGGAAACAGCAGTTTCCTCTCGAAGGGGAGTGGGAAGAGTGAGGCCCCGGTGTCGGTGTCGTGTGGCCAAAGTCACCTCGTGTACTGCAAGTAGAAGGCAGAATTGCCTAGAGGCGGCGGGTCCAGGCTACTTTTGTCTCAGAGCCCACTGCAGGAGCCTGCCTGCACCTGCTGTGTTATCCCAGATCTTCACCCTGAAGTTGCTGTAGAAGTTAGCCAGAGCCCAGGCTTGTGGATCCTTTTCTGGAAGGTCCTGTTTTCCCACCACCAACACAAGGAAGGTAGTGTGGAGTCTCAGGTCCTCCCTCCCTTCAAGCCAGACCCAGTTTTC